ATTAGCTAGGAATCGACTAACCTCACGTAGATAGAATACCATGTCAGGCCTGGTGCCTACCAAAAGGTACATTACATTACCAACTGCTTCACGATACGGAATGTCTTTCATCGCATCTTTCTATGCATCATTGCTAGGTTGACTGCTTGAGAAAAATTTAACGTTCCTCTCTGCTGAAGCTGTAATCGGGTACGGAATGTATTCGCTGATGCGGTCAAGGACCTTCGTAGCGTACTTGTGTTGGTGGATAAAGATCGCTCGGTTCTTACGGTCACGTCAAATAGACCAGCCGAGTAAGTACGTCACCTCCCCTAAATCTGTCATGGAGAACCTGTTCTTTAGGGCTGATATTAGCTCGCGAACGAGGGCTGGTGCTGGTGCAATATTGAGATAGTCATCGACATACACTGCGATGTAGCAAGTAACATTGCTGCGCGTGCGACAGAAAACACAGCGGTCTTTGATAAGCTTGTGAAACCCAGGACTCCCAAGGAAGGCAGATAGTGTCTAATACCAAACACGTGGGGGCTTGTTTCAACCCGTACAGCCTTTTCAGAAGGTTGCACACTAGGTGATCCTTACCCGGGATTTGGAAACCTTCCGGTTGAGCCATGTAGATCTCCTCCAAGAATCCATTCGGAAATGATGTTTTGACATCCATCTGATGGATTTCTAGATCGAGTAAGGCTGCGATCGTAAGGAGGAGTCGGAGGACCTCCATTCGAATCACTGGGGAGAAGATCTCATTGTAGTCAATGCCATATTCCTGAAGAAAGTCTTTGATCATCAGACGCGCTTTGAAGCGGTCAATATATCCTGTGCCGGTATACTTTACTACAAAGACCCATCGGGTTGTAAGTATTTCCGTCCCAGAGGTGGTGGTACCAGCACCCATGTTTCATTGTCCATGAGGGACTCGTATTCCGAATTTGCTGTTTTGGACCACTGATGAGCATGAGAAGACTGCATGGCCTCTCGATACGTAGTGGATTCTGACACATACCGAATAGCGAGTAAAGTGTACAGTAATTGTTTACGCTCTTCCTTTTCCTGTAAGTCTTCTTCAGAATTGAACGTTACCTCCGTGTCATGTATTAGACGGGGCCACTTAGGGGCAGGAGGAGATGGAGGATCAAATCGCGTCTCCGTTTTAAATTAATAGTGTACCACTTTATCATCATCGAGCGCCTCCCTGAATGATGGAGGTCTGCGCTATTTGGTGATCTCCGCAGGTGTAGGCGGTACGGATGTGACCATTGCGGTGCATGCGTTGCAATTTCAGGTACTGGTGGAGGTGCAGATTGTAGCATCTGCGTATCCTGTGTTGTACGTCAAGTTGGCGAGAGAGGGGAATTCATCCTCTTTAAATACTATATCCCTGCTGTAGACAATAGCATGGGTGTTGAGCTCCATCAGACGATATCCTTTCTTGTGATCCGGGACGTCAAGGTACATACACAGTCTAGCTCTGGCGTCGAGTTTGTCTCGGTATTGATCAGGAATGTGAGCGTATGCACTGCATCGGAGCACTTTCATTTACTGCGTGGATGGTAGTCTGTTATACCACATTTCAAATGGAGTGCGTTGGGCTGTCTTGGAGCTAGGTGTCATGTTGATCAGCGTGGTCACGTGACAGACACATTCCGCCCAGAGTTGCTTTGGGAGCTTTCCGTCCAACAGTAGGGCTCGTACCCGTTCCATGATAGTTCGCATGCGTCGTTCAGCAACACAATTTTGCTGAGGTGTGTACGCGCTCGTAAACTGAGCGTGGGTACCATACTTTTGAAAGATTATGCGGCCAAGTTTCTCGTATTCTTTCGTATTATCCGCTTGAAACCGTTGAATGTCGTGGTCTTCAATGTCGTGAGTATGATGAAGTACATTGACGTCGCGTCGGTAGATGTTTAGAGCTTTCCTCCTAAAAGTCTCATAGCATTCGTATAGTTCGCTACGGCTCTTTATAGGATAGGTGAGCATGATACGGGAGAAATCATCGATAAAGATCACAAAGTATCAGCAACCAGTAAGGCTAGTCACAGGAAATGGACCACAGATATCTGAATGCATTTTTCCCAAGGGAGATGTGGCACGTTCAACAACGCTATTAGGATAGAATGGTGCACGATGTGACTTCGCTAACGTGCATGAAGTACAGAAGAGCTGAGCTGAACGGTCTACAGCAGCAGAGTCATCGAGTCCATCAATGGCTTGGCTCCTTGATAGTTCGTGCAGAATGCGAGCGTTAGGATGGCCAAGATGTTTGTGCAAAAGCAGAAAAGCTCGATGCTTACCCGAGGCCACAAGTGCCTTTGCGGTCACCACTGGTTGAGCCTGAAACGGATACAAATCAGTGTTGGTCGCCATTGCCACCTTGATCTTGAAGCGCTGGTCTGTCTGTACAGCACACTGTTTGCGATCAAAGCTGAAGCGGTAGTCTTGCTTCACGGCAGCCGGGACTGACAGCAGGTTGAACTGCAGAAGCGGCGCGTACAGAGCTTCATGAAGAGTGATCGTCTTCGAGTTACCTTTGGAGTCAGTGACTTCCAGTTCAACACGTCGAAAGCCTTCTATTGGGATCTGGTTGTTGCCTCCCACAGTGATCGATCCATCACTTGTGAAAATTTCCCTGAAGCACTGAGATTCGTGCGTCACGTGGCGCGTACATCCAGAGGCGATGGTTCAGGTAGGGCCCACTTGAACACTGGCTTTGACTGTGAGGCTCACTGGTGGGTTGATCGACGTCGCAACTGCAATCAAACCGACATCGCGACGGCCTTGATGAAACACCTTTCGGCTGTTCTCGCCGTCATTGTCGCCGTCGTCGTCATTGTCAGATTCAAACGGACGATTGTTGCCTTGTTCACGACCGCGTTACTTGCCACTATTCGCATGATTGTGCTCCTCGCCACGGCCACCACGGTTCTTGTCTCTGTGGTTGTTAGCACCTCTGCTGATGGGGCGTCCTTGCTTCCAGTTCTTGGAGCCGCGGTAGGGATGCTCTCGAGTCACGGTGTTCTTGAATGCAAAGTTGGCAGACAAGACAGTGTCAGCCTTGACTCGACCGCAGATCTTTCTGCAGACCGCGACATTGACGAATGTTGTGACGTGGACGGTCACTGTAGGAGCATATATCCTCACCACGAGTGTCGTTACGCTGGGCAGAAGGTCCGGTAGCCACTAGAGCACGCTCATTCTTGGTGTCACTTGTCTCGGGTGTTCCCTTCGAGAGCGTGTATCGTTCCTGAGCTTGGATGTCGCGGACCTTGCCTTCGATACTCTGTTTGAGGTCTTCATACGGGATGTACTTCCGTTGTCCCTTCCAGATGCGGAGATCGTTCTTCCAGGACTTGGGCATCGAGTGGAACAGATAGATAGACTTCTGTCTCTCGGTCATCACCGATTCGGTATCTTCAGGCGCGGCTTTCATTGCGTTCTCCAGCCTCAGAAAGAGCTCAGTTAGATCTGAGCCTTCCTCGTACTTGATCTCCATCAAGTAGTGCTGGATGAAGTAGGGGTCGCCATTGAACGCTGCGCCTTCGTACTTCTCGCAAATGTACGAAAAGATGGCGTACGAAGTCGTGAGATGCTGGACCAGCCGAACGTGCGTGTTATCCATGGTCTTCATCAGGAACGCCTTGGTCTTGGCTTCCTGGCGACGGCGTTCGCGCTGGCTCAGGGGCTGGCACTCCTTTCGCATCTTGCGGAGGTTGATCGGGCGTACGACCGGCAGATTCTTGGCCTTGGCGGAAGAGTCAGAGCTCTCGTCGGAGTCTTCATCGTCGGAGCCGGACGGCGGCTTGAGGTCGTCGTCGCTCTCGTCGTAGTCCACAGCGTCGGAGTCGATTTGGGCGACATCTGCCGGCTTGGACATCGGCGGGTCGTCCACGTCGGACATGTCGCTCCCACTCTCTTCACTTTCCTCGTCGGAGATGCCATCGTATTCAGGCTTGGTCACAAAGCCGAGGAGGTGCTTGCCATCGAGGGCTGCGCACACGCGGGTCTTCCACACGTCGAAGTCGTCGGTGCCGACAAGTCGGGGGAAGTCGTCGCTTGAGGCTTGGCTTGGGCTCATATCCTATGGCAGGTACATGTATCGTAGAGAGCCTAGGAGTACTTGATGAAAATACGAGAATAGAAGAAGTGATTTTAGAGAAGCGAGCAGCGGTGGTGTCATGCCGCTGCAAGAATGGCTGGTGGTGCGATAATTAGACTGCCTCCTGGTATACCGAAAGTGAGCTACAGAGGTATTTGTAAAGGGAGGTTTGTTGTGCTCTGTTTTGTGAAGTGCTATACACAAACAACCTACATCGCGTAGGTGGAGAAGCGTTGTCTATATGTAGCCGCAATTACATGTATACATAATAATATTATGTCATAATGCTAAAATGTCAAATATAATTGTGAAGGCCTCCACTGTTAATAATTTCAACTTCATGTCAGGAATGAAAAGAATCTGAGAGAACATCTCTCTTCATGATTACCTGGCTACGCAGGCATGTACCGGTATCTTCCGATTGTTAGGGGAGTAGGAGAATGTGTCTTTTTCTCGAAAAAAAAACTTTTGTCGTGTGTGTGTTTTTGTCATCTACGGTACATGTTAATTAAGGTTTTACAAAACAAGAGCGGTTCAAAGTACAGAAGTCCCCTTCAATAATCGTATGGGGGGATCGTCTGATTATTTTGCATAGGGAATTCTCAGCGCTCTTGTAAAATACATGTACAGTATCCCCAATCCATGGGGTCCGATATAAAGGGGTAGTACAAGCTATGCTTATTCAGGGGGACTTCTGTACATGTATTTGCTGATTACGTTGACCCAACATGTCGTGTAAGCTCGGGTGACTACAGCTGAAGATTAGGGCGATAGTGCTACATGTATATTACGTTGACCCAAGTTGTCGTGTAAGCTTGCGCGCGTCCAAGGTCGAAGCTGCTCGTGGTCATTGCTGCTCACTTTCAAACTTTTTTTCCGAAGCACAAGCGATTAGAGACTTCGAACAATGGCTCCGTCGACTCCAAAGCTCTTCACGCCCGTGACTTTAGGCGGCAAGAACCCCATCCAGCTCAAACACCGAGTGGCCATGGCTCCTCTGACAAGACTTCGTACGGGAGCTGAAGGTGAACCCAAATCCATCGCCTCTGAGTCGTACCACCGACGGCGGTCTGATCATCTCGGAGGCCACTGACATCTCCAAGCAAGGCAACGGCTATTTCGGAGCTCCTGGAGTGTACACACAGGAGCAAGTGGAGGCGTGGAAGCCTGTCACCAAGGCCGTCCATGCGAAGGGTGGCAAGGTATTCGCACAATTGTGGCACACGGGTCGTGTGAGCCATCCACTGAACCAACCAAACGGATAATTGCCCGTGTCGGCCAGCGCCACCAGCATGGAGGCGGTGACAAGCCACGCTGTCACTGCTGAGGGTCGTAAGGACCACGTGACACCGCGCGCTCTAGAAGCTGACGAGATTCCTGGAATTGTGGAGGACTACAAAACAGCGACGAAGAATGCCCTCGCTGCAGGTTTTGACGGCGTGGAGCTGCACGCTGCTAACGGTTATCTGCTGGAACAATTCCTCTGCGACACGACCAACAAGCGTACCGACCAGTACGGTGGATCGATTGAGAACCGCGCGCGCTTTCTGTTGGAGGCGATTGAAGGCATCCTCTCTGTGGCAGATTCGAGTAAGGTGGCGATTCGCCTCTCACCATATGGCATCACCTTTGCCTGTACGGATTCGAATCCGCTGGAAGCGTATGGCTACGTGATCCGTAAGTTGAATGAGTTCGACCTAGCCTACCTTCACCTAGTTGAGCCTTATGGTTGGCACTTCACGGGGCCGTTGGTCCCGGAAGGAGGCATTTCACCGGTGTTTCGTCCAATGTACAAGAGTGTGATCATTGCAGCTGGTGGCTTTAACCGTGAGACTGCCATCAAGAACGTCGAGGAAGGCTACGACGACATCATTGCCTTCGGACGAGACTTCATCGGCACACCTGACATTGTGGAGCGTCTCAAGGCCGACAAGCCTCTGAGTAAATTCGACACCAAAACATTCTATCCGCGAGCGTGGACCGACCCGTTGAAGGTGGGATATACCGATTATCCATTGTGGCAGGAGGACTCCTAGGAGGACTGGAGGAGTAAGGCTTTCTCAGATTGGTAGTACAACCTTGGGATAGATTTCTTAAAAAATAGTCGTGTTTCCTTCCAATCGAGAGCTGGTACTTCTTTTATCGGCACCCCTCTTGTCCAGGTTTTATCACTCAGGTATTGTCCAGGTATACCGGCAGGTATTGTCCAGGTAGAGTTTTAACGGTTTAAATTACTCTCATTTTCTTCTTTTGATTCCTAGCCACCAGTTAGGGAGACACGTGGCAGCCCCCCCCCCAACGCCCCGAGGATGGCACGCACGAACAAGACTGCCCAGATCAAGGCGAAGATGGCAGAGCAAGAGCGTGTGGCCGAGGAAGCTCGTCAGGCTAACCTCGCTCTCTTGCGTGCGGCGCGTACGCGCTCAGAGAGAGCACACGCCAGAGAAAGTATGGAGACATCTCGCCCTAGTCCAACTGAAGTAGCAGAGGACAGCAATGCTCAAGAGCGAGTGGAGGAGGCAACAGAAGACGTCGCAGATGAAGTAGGAGATGGCGAGGAAGGGCAGGGAGGTGTGGACACGTCGAGTGAAGCAAAGAAGACTACGGGCGATGAAGAGGACGATTCGGTGGGAGATGAAGAGGATGCAGAGGAGGAAAAGGTCGCTTCGGGCGAAGGGGAAGAGGGTGAAGTGGAAGAAGATGAAGTGGAGACGGAACCAACGAGTAAGCGTCGTCAAGGAAAGAAAAGAACCGTCTCCGATGTCGAAGAAGAAGAGCTGGTTCAGGTCCCTGTATTTAAGGCGCATCATGATTCGTGGGCCTCGCTGGAGCAGCCTCTCAAGGAATACATGGAGGCGACGCGCCAAAAAATCGTGGTGAAAGAGGTGATCAATGTAGCCCGCAGGAATGCTGATCTTCGGCGCCAAGTGAGGTACCAAGGGCTTCCTGACTCAGAGTTGCCTCTCGTCCCTGCAGAGATGGAACCTTATCAGCGCAAGTTTATCTGTACGCATGGGTGGTCCGAACGTGACAGATCAACGGGAAAGCGGACGTCACACAAGCTGAGTACTACCGATTGTCCGTTTCAGATGCTGGCTCAAGCTACCAAGCGTAGTGACGGTCAATGGAGCGTTGTGATGAAGCGTGAAGTGTACGCCCATAATCATTGTGTCTCCGAAGACATTTACAGGTCTTATCCAGGTATTCGCCAGGTTCCGGCGGACTCACCTTTGATGCCAGGTATTGAGCTGCTGGTTGAATCCGAAGCCGGGACAACAAGCGTGTACAACTACATTCGAGAGAACTCAAAGCACCGAGTCTCCATGGATGATGTGCACAATCTACTTCGCCGGCTGCGTAATCAAGGTAAATGTTTGGTTTGATTACATGTCTTGTCGTCTTGTTCCCCTCTAACTTGATGTATTCGCAGGTGTGGAGTTGTCTGATAACGATGCCGTGGCTGAGATGATTATGGACTTCAACAGAGAGTCATCGGCAAATGTTTCTTCGGTGCACGAAAGTGCACGTGGAGATACCGGTGTGCTTTCCTTCACTAGTGAGCATATGCGTGCGATGTTGGACAACTTCCCCGAGGTGATTCAAATGGACTGTACGCACAAAACCAATCAGTAAGTTGCATGGTAGTAATTGGACAGGTTTTCCCCAGGTATGACCAGATTTTGACCAGACTTTGTGTATGGTTAGGTACAACTACCAGCTTTTTACGATGGTTGGTATGGACCAGTTTGGCCAAGGCCAGCCTGTCCAGTATTCGTTAATCGAAACGAACGGTGACTGGCATATGGCCAAGTGCTTGGATCATTTCAAGCGTGCGAACGAACACTGGCGGTTCGTCCGTATTGTGATCGTCGACAAGGACATGCGCGAAGTCGAGGTGGTTCGCAAGAAGCTTCCCGAAGCTCGGGTGCTGTATTGCCACTTTCACGTGATCAAGTGGTTGCATGAGACGATCAGAAAATCTAAGTCGTACGGTGCTTACGACGAGGATGTTTTAGCGCAGATGAAACAAGCCATCACCAACATGACTTACTCCAGGACAGAGGAAGACTACCATACGCACCGTGAAGAGTTTAAGAGCCTCGCTTGCCGAGATGATCGCACCGATCTGTGGGAGTATTTTGACAAAAACTGGAGCGACTGCTGCGAGATGTGGGTGATGGCGTATCGCGTTGATCTGCCTCACTTCGGAAATCACACCAACAACCGCGTGGAGAGCCTATTTGGTAAGCTCAAACGGCATCTCAAAGGCCACTTTACAATGAGAGCTAGTTTGAAGGTGCTTTTGGACTACCAGCGACGCAAAGAGGAAGACTATCGGTCCAAGGTCGAGATGCCTGGCACCTTACGGGACGTGTCCTACTCAGAAGAAATAAATGTAGCGCTGGGAATGACAACACGTTGGGTGGCGGTAGCGATCAATGCTCAATACGATGTTGCTACGGATGATGCTGTTGCTAACAACTACACGTTTACCGACAATGGCACTACTGTCACTGTCAGCGGTGGTAAACGTGAGTATCTTATCGAGAAAGAGGGTTACTTGTGCGACTGTGAGTTTGCTCAGACCATGAAGCTTCCCTGCAGACACGCCATGATGTACCGAAAGCGCTGTGGCAACCCATTCATTATCCCGTTCTCGACAATTGCGCCAAGGTATGTTGACTTTGCGTCCAGGTATTGGCCATGTTTTCATCAGGTATTAACCAGGTATGTGTTTTGCAGGTGGTTTGGTCAAAGCCGGCTCTCGCAACAGGAGTTGACAGAGGTGGCGGCACCGTTTGTGGCTAAGATATACAAAGCCCATTCACAATCTGCTGGTGGAAGGTTGAGTGAAGCAGAGAAATACAGACGTGCTCAGCAGGCACTTAGTCGCATCAGTGGTGAGCTTGCGAGGTTCGAAGACGATGCCTTCGCTAGTGCGATGTCGCAGTTGGATCAATGGTGGTACAACATGAGGAATGGACAACCCACGGCAGAGCATTCTGCCCCCAATCGAGACGGTGACAACAGACATGATGATGACAACTCGGATGGAGGAGCAGGTGAAAGTGGAGCAGGGGTGGATTCTGAACAACAGCAAGATACTGAGGCTAGCGATGCGAATGTGGCTACCAAGGATGATTCCGACGACGTACCGCCCACTCAGGTGGCTGGTCCTGCGACTCAAGCAGCAGAGATGTCTACGACCGCAGCCCAACCACCAAAAATCAAGCTGAATGGTAAGGTCAGAAGGGCCGGGCGACCTCATTTGAATCGTTCGGCGATGAAAGTGAAGGCGGCGTTAGCACTAAAAGAGTACAATAACGGGATGAAACTACGCGCTCTTTTAAGAGATAACGACGTCTGCGATGTGGTGTCTACTCTATGGATGATCATGCCTGGAGTTCGCGAAGTTGGGTCTTTCCTTACTACCTTTCCGGTCAACAAGAATGGTGAGGGAAGGTCAATTCAGTGGCGCGTCGACGGAGATTACGTGCCAGATCGAGTGCGATTCCGGCTAGTCGAATCGCTTGTTGATGATGCGTTGGATAAGTTAAGGGGCGGATTGGCGCTAGATGAAGAAATTGAGTTGGACAGTGACGGTGAACGAATGGGCAGCATTGAGAGTTACGTGGTGTCAATTGAAAAAGCTGGTCAGTTCACCAGAGAGCAACTGGAAGCTATGAAATCCTTGTGGGGGCTACAAGATACTTGTCGCAATGCTGTTCTTTGCTGTACCTGGTTGAATAGCACTGTTAAACCCGCGGTCAGTGACTCCGCTTCAGCGGGTATTATAATGGGAAAGATACTGGAGTGTTGGCCGTATACACCGCTGGTTGGGTTCGGATTCGACCTGACGTACAACAATCTCTTTTGCTTTCGAGATTCCGCTTGGCTAAACGATAATGCCATGCGTGCTTTTGCGGTTTGTCTCGCACGGTACAAGAACAATTGTACAGTCGTCATTCCGCCCCCCCCCAAAAAGCCAAAGATGCCAAGAATGGAACCCAACCAAAGGCCACCAAAAGTCGTATCTCTACAAGCACGCTCGACAAAGTTGGTGAAAGTGTTGCCTCGCACCAATTCGTGCTTCTTCCTATCAATTTTGGTGGCACGCATTGGGGATGCCTCGTGGTTGACCGAGACACCAAGGTTGTCAAGATGTACGACAGCATGGGCGGTAAGAGAAACAAGAAACGGTTGCAGAAGATGGCTGAAGAAATCCGTACTGGGCCTCTACGTGACGATTCCTACAAAGCTTTGAAAGTAACCGAGCCGGTGCAAACGGACAGTGACAGTTGCGGTGTGTTTGTGTGCCGGTTTTTCTGGACTTGCGTGAGCAGCGAATCCCCCAGCGATGTGTCCCCAGCTGGTATTACGAAGCTGAGGTGGGAGATGCTGCACGCAGTCATGAAGTTGAGGCCGCGCTAGTTATTCGTGCATATCCGTCAGTGCAACATGCATGTAAATACTAACGATTTTAATACATGGTCAATTCTTGGGCAAAACCTGGACAATGACTGTATGTGGCAGAAGTCGATAATGGTACATTCGTGGTACGCCACCATGAGCGTGAGCGCCGACACACCGCAGCGGCCGTCACTCTAGAATTTTTCTAAGTAGCGCACACATGATTTGCCCAGGTTTTAAAACCTGTAAAATACCTGGGTAAACGGTGAAGAAAACGATTGGTTGCGGTGAGTTCCGACGTCGACTGCCTACGATCATTTCCACTTTAGCCTAAGTCGTGCACACATGAGTATCCCAGGTTTTATACCTGGAAAATACCTGATTTGGTCATTTAAGTTCCCGAATGTAAATTACCAAGTCTGATTCCGTTCTCTAAAAGGAAACCTGGGCGAAACCTGGCTCCCTAGCTGGACTATCCATGGAGAATCAGATTTCTGAGTATTTTTTCAATCTGGGAAACCTGGACGCTAAGGTCGTCCTTCTTTTATTGTAAGAGCTTTAAAAAAGTCCCATAATAATACCTGCTACTGGATACCTTTTAGAAATCTATAAGTAGACACTTTGAAGAGTCACTGTCCATTCAAGATTTGACAAGATGCCAGAGGCAGCGAAGAACGACAACTCGTCGGAGATCACATGGCAGGAGTACCGCAAGATTTCGTCGCGATCGCACTTAAAGCACAATGACATGACAGCGGAAGTGTGTACAGAGACCATCGAGATCATCACGATGGCGTGCGATAAGCACGTTCCTATGAAGAATTACGAGACTGCAGCACAGCTCATCAAGCAGAGTATGGACAAGAAGTTCGGGTCGTCGTGGCATTGCTTCATCGGCGAAGGCTACGGGTTCGACATCAGCTACCAGCAGAGGCACATGCTGTATCTGTACGTAGGCGAGATCGGTGTGCTCGTCTACAAGTGCTGAGATCACACAGAGAAGAAATTGACAGTTTTCACGGTAGAACTTCAACGAGCTCCTCTTCTCCTTTTCTTGACAAAAATGTACTTGTGCACTTTTAGTGCCTACGAGAGGTTTATAGACCATGGTCGGCTACTCATTTTGCTACTTGCTACGTCGAACAGTTAGTTACCGTACTTTTTCAACAGCTACACTGTCCGCTTCGCCCGAAAACTTGGTCAGTAAATCCAGTGTCTGCTTGAGCGCCGGTAAGTTATCACTGCCATGTTGTCCATAGTCTTGGCAAACTCCTTGCTTTCCAAGTACCTTTGAAACACTGAATTTTCCTGCTTTTGTCTTCCACGCCCGATGCCGGACTTCAACGTCCGTTACGTATGGCACATCATATTTTCCATTCCGACGGTCGCATCCTCTGTCTTTTAATCATGTCGAAAATGAATTCTCGCTTCGAGAACTCCTTCCATTTCCGTTTTCCTGTCATTATCGGTTTTCTCCAACAGCTACATTCACAGGGATTTTGGTGGTTCCGGTCTCCCAAGTGGGCGGCTAGAATCGATCGACACCTCACACACAGCAAGTCGATTATGCTGACTCTCGTACGTCGCTCAGGGGCTCTGGCCCGCACGTCCGCCGTCCGCTGCGCCTCGGCGGTCCCTGTCACCTCTTTGTCCTCGGCTCCCGCCGAGCGTGGCAACATCCAGGAGCTGCTGGGCGGCAACGCCACAGCCCGCAACGGCGTCGGTACGGACCCACTCGAGTCGATCTCTTGACCCACAAGCTCCCTTAACCGCTGTCATTGCTCCCTCACAGAGTACGTCGTGTCCCGCGTGGATGACCTGGTAAACTGGGGCCGCAAGAGCTCGCTGTGGCCCATCACGTTCGGTCTCGCTTGCTGCGCCGTCGAAATGATGCACTCCGGTACGTTGTTGCCCTCTTGTCGTCGCTATATTTGCTGACACTTGCTCCCTCAATGTAGCTGGTTCGCGTTACGACTTTGAGCGTATGGGTATGGTGTTCCGTGCCTCTCCGCGTCAGACGGACGTCATGATCGTGGCCGGAACACTGACCAACAAGATGGCGCCGGCTTTGCGCCGCGTGTACGACCAGATGCCCGAGCCACGCTACGTGGTCTCCATGGGCAGCTGTGCCAATGGTGGTGGCTACTACCACTACTCATACGCCGTGGTGCGCGGCGCGGACCGCGTGATCCCCGTGGACATCTACGTGCCCGGCTGCCCGCCCACGGCCGAGGCGCTGCTGTTCGGACTTATGCAGCTTCAGAAAAAGGTCAAGGGCAACAAGTCGTTGCTGCTTAAGTTGAGGAAGTAGACAGCGACGTTGACTGCTTGGGGTAAATACTGCTCCGAGCATCTGTATAACGTTGAGAGAATACACAAAAGCAAAATGAATGAACATTTGCCAAAGTGCAACTTGCAACAGAAGTTGCCAATGTCAATTTGCAAACGTACCTTGCAAATGTTTCCGATTGGGTTATAAGGCCGGCCGTGCCGTAACCTTTGCCAAGAGCAATCGTCTCCTTGCATGCAGTAATCAGGTGGATCTCTCAACAAGCTCGTCCTTCATTGGCTTGCACTCGGGTGCTTGACATCATCGTCGCTGCGAGTAAGCGGACGATCACAAATTCGAGACCTTGGGGGTCATATCCCTTGTTGCCTCCACGAGACCAGTTCATTTCCTTGAGAACCTGATTTAGCTGATCAGAGTTGATGCTGCGCGCTAGCTCAAAACTCCTTCCACGTGGTGTGTCTGTGCCAAGGCAAACACCTGTAGCCGCTATCAGCGACCGTGTCTTTCATACGACTTCAACTGCTGCGAACGAATCTGCACTTCAGCAGCGTGGTGACATCGGAGATCTCCTTGGTGGAAATGCTGTAGCACGAAATGGAGCTGGTACGTGACGTGAACACTTCAAAAACACAATTGCTTCTGACTATTTTCTTTGCCCTTTCAAGAGTACGTCGTGTCTCGCCTCGATGACCTGATGAACTGGAGTAAGAAGAGCTCCTTGTGGCCTCTTTCCTTTGGCCTGGCCTGCTGCGCCGTCGAGATGATGCACACCGGTACGTCGTCTCTTGATTCTCTGCAATAAAGTGTCCGTAGCTAACAGCGCTCATAGCCGGCTCGCGCTATGACTTTGAGCGTATGGGTCTGCTCTTCCGCGCGTCACCTCGATGCACCGACGTCATGATCGTCGCTGGCACCGTCACAAACAAAATGGCTCCTGCTCTCCGCCGTATCTACGACCAAATGCCCGAGCCAAAGTTTGTCATCTCGATGGGAAGCTGTGCGAACGGCGGCGGCTACTACCACTACTCGTACTCGGTAGTACGCGGTGTGAATCGCATCCTTCCGGTGGACATCTACGTGCCTGGATGCCCTCCCACCGCCGAGGCGCTGCTGTTCGGTGTCATGCAGCTTCAGAAAAAACTTAAGGGCAGCAAGTCGCTGGTGCTCAAGCTGCGCAAGTAAGACTGCGCCGGAGGTGGGCTCTCGGTTGATTTCATAAAGCGTCCACTTTTGGTGGCCATCATCGGCAAAGCGTAATCTTGCAAAGCCATTATCTAAGCGACGGACTTATTTTCACTATGGTCTGCAAATTCTTTAGAGCTCGACTCAGATTCAGTGCCGTGCCGATTGTCGTCAAGTGATCTCAAACTTTTTCCCATGAGTTGTGGCCTCTCATCCGACAGCAACTTCACCTTCTTTTGCAACCCACACGAGGTGGCCATCATCACAAGTGCAGGGATCAGCGCAATCTGCCGCTGTCCTTGGGCTGGACCTCCTGTCGTGATTCGGACCGCAGATTCCTGTGGTGTAGTCTCCCCCTTGAGTATATTTCACCTTAATCGATCACCATGTTCCGCGTCGGCTCTCAACTTCTGCGCCGCACCGTTCGTCCTGTGGTTGCTAACTCGTCGAGAGCGATCCAGACCACTTCCACGGTGGCTGGAGCTTTTCAAGAGAAGCTGCAGACCTCGCAGCGTGGCAACGTTGCCGACCTTCTCAATGGCAACGCCGCAGCCCGAGACAGTGCCGGTAGGCAATATGGCTATAGGCTCTTAGCTATCTTTCTCTAAACATCGTGTAACTATTTTTCCGTTCCCATATTTGCAGAATATGCGGTTTCCCGTCTCGACGACCTTGTGAATTGGGGGCGGAAGAGCTCACTGTGGCCCATTTCGTTCGGTCTGGCATGCTGTGCCGTCGAAATGATGCACGCCGGTACGTGTCACCACTTTAACGTATTCGTATCTTGACTATTGTTGCTACCACATGCGCTCTTCCTTGACTTGACCACGGCTGCTACTCGATCTCCCATCGAATTGATTCCACGCCTCCAAATTCGTTTGACAACTTGGCGGCCCACACGGAAGTACGCTGCAACCCGAACGATCTCTCCATGTTTGACCACTTCTCCCACGCTGCGAAGCAGTAAGGTCTCCCAGACGGCCTGGCGCTCACTGTCTGTGATCTCCCCCAGGTGCCAGCTTACAAAATGAAAGCTGGGAGCGGGAGCCACTGTCTTGTTTCAGCCGGTTCGCGTTACGATTTCGAGCGTATGGGGATGGTCTTCCGTGCCTCGCCTCGTCAGACGGATGTCATGATCGTGGCTGGAACGCTGACCAACAAGATGGCGCCCGCTCTTCGTCGAATCTACGACCAGATGCCGGAACCTCGCTATGTGGTGTCACTTGGAAGCTGCGCCAACGGTGGCGGCTACTACCACTACTCGTATGCCGTCGCTCGTGGTGTCGACCGCGTCGTGCCTGTCGATATCTACGTCCCCGGTTGCCCGCCGACATCTGAAGCTCTCATCTTCGGACTGATGCAGCTGCAGAAAAAAATCAAGGGCAACAAGTCCTTGCTGCTGAAGCTGAGGAAGTAGACATTTATGGAGTTCTGGCATTACTTTCCTGAAAAAATCCTGTCTGCAGCTCGAGCACTCAACACAAAAAAAAATGTGAGCCCGGTTTCGGGGGGGGGGGGGGGGGGCAGAACTCAAGCATCAAGAACTTAAGCATCACCCTACTTCTTTAAGCTAGCGAAACCACACTTTTACTTTCCCATTTCCAGGGGTGGCACCTTGGATTCCTTGGTCATAGCTCACGGCCTTCGTAGATGAATTTGAGGTGGACATCAACATGCACAATTGCTGTCGACATTTGCTGGTGTGCGCTTCCTTCGTGACTAATCTCGTGGTGGGTGGCTTCCTCGTTGCTAGTCTGGACCTCTTCTTCTTTCACTCACACGACGTCGCCACCGTTTTCTAAATCGCATACCAGTTTCGTATCTTACAACTGAAGCTCGCATGATGTTCCAAGTTGGCTCCCAGCTTCGCACGGCAACGAAGTCCGTAGCAGTTGCCAAATCCACTCGCACGATACACGCAAGCCTTACCGTCGCAGACCAAATTCGAGGTCCAGCGAACGATGACGTCACAGAACGTGGAAACATCTCCGCTGGAAAAGCGATCGCGCGCAACAGTGTTGGTACCTTAAATTATTTTACTCAATGACGTGTTTGTGAGTATAAATCGTCCCTGTTGACTTAGAGTATGCGGTGTCCAGGCTTGAGGATCTTGTCAACTGAGCTCTCTCTGGCCCGTTCAGTTCGGCCTTGCGTGTTGCGCCGATGAAAGGATGCATGCCGGTATGTCCATCTACATCAACCCGTCGTTTGAGACCGACTTAATTCATCACCCCTCTTCATATCGCTTGCCACAGCTGGTTCTCGATATGATTTCGAGCGCCTGGGTATCGTTAGACGAATGTAATGATTGTTGCTGGAACGCTGATTAACAAGATGGCACCCATTCTTCGTCGAATCTACGACCAGATGCCAGGACCCCGTTATGTGGTATCTCTCGGAAGCTGTGCCAAAGGTGGTGGCTTAATATGCCGTCGTTCGTGGAGTCGACGCATCGTCCCCGTCGACATTTATGTCCTAGGGCGCCCTCCAACCGCCGAGGCGCTCGTCTTCGGGATCCTCCAGCTCCAAAAAAAAGTATAAGGTAACAAATCGCTGCTCTTGAAACTGAGAAAGTAGCAAACCACGCGGCAGCCTTTGTAGACTTGATACGAGTAAGGCTTGATCAACACCGAGTCGGCAGCTTGAGTCCGAAACTGTGATTTGGAGCAAAACCTATTCTCAGCCACACATCGAAACTACACTGCGCGACGTAATACAACCTGAGTATCTTCTAGCTAGAACCATTATGAATGGTGGCCTTCAACGACTGCTTATACACCAAAACAAACAACAGTTTTTCTTTTTTTGCAACTGATTATGCACATGTTCTCGGGTAGAAATCGTCCAGCCCACGTTATTTTATTAGAATTGATAACGTGGCCATCAGCCATCATGCATAATCAAAGGTCATTACAGTACATGATTACATAGTTGAGTTTCAGCAGCTGCCGAGTGTTCAGACTCTGAATCAGAGGGAGAGAAATACTCACCAAAGATTTGTACACCATCACCATACATTTTATCTGCATCACCAAAGATTTGGTCATCCACCATGTGGTTATAAATCACCAAAGAGTTGGGAAACATCACCAATGGCAAATGCTTAGTTGACACTCTTTGTACGGATTGGTTTGTAGTGGGCATCAGAAGGTGTACAATATCTTTATATATGTGATTCCACTGTCACGAGCAGCCTTTAATATATATGAAAAAAGGCAAAGTCGTTTTACAGAAAAGTGTTTAGCAAATATAAAACAAAGGCCGCTGCATTTGTTCGTTAGTACCTGCGACGCTTGGTCTGGTCACAAGAAGTACGACGCGTGCTTGGTAGTGTATTGGTCGAGCGATTCTCCGTTGTCTCCTCAAACCAACCTCTTGTAGTCTCACTATTTTCGCAGCTATCAACTTCACTTAAAGCTTGTTCTGCCGCAGTCTCTGAGAGGGGGTGTATCATTCTTGCACCGCGGACAGCGATGATATGTGGATTAACAAGATGATGAGGTGATGATGATTCTACAATTCGAGTAGGCTGTGACGGTCCATGTAATAAAGTTGCTGATGTCACTTCTTCGTGTGCTATGTGAGCGGGCTGCGACTCCTCCGAATTGTTGGAGCTTACCCAACCAGTTGGATTACTCACGAAAGTCAATACATTCTCGTATTCGTTTGAATTCCTCGAGCTTAATCCATGCGCTCCAAAGTGACGGTCAGATTCACCATTCAGATTCAGCGGGCTAATCGGTTCATGTAATTCTGGAGGTGCACGATATGTACCTAGACGAGATGCGTAAAAACTCACTGGGTGGCTTTGTTCAGGTGGCGACCCCCTCCACCTTGGTCCGTACAGTGGTCTGACGTCAATACATTGTATACTGAGCGCAGTAGTAGCTGTTTCGGATGGCGCTGTCTCTTTACTATTCTCAATTTGATTTTCGAGGGTGGTTAATCGCTCTCTTCTAAGTTGACCTCCAGTAGTTGCGAAAATTCGCTCTGCGTCGGGCATTCCTGGACAATGAATTTGCAGCTGCCGTGTTGCGTGAATTATGTGAACACAGAGACCAAACTTACCACTGAAGAGGCAACCACACAAGCGGGACACAGCGTTCACTAACCATCCATCGACTGGCATATTTTTCCACTGCATACGCAAAACGTGTATCGACTTGTAAGGTAATTTCTTGTTATCGGGCTCCGCAAAAAAGTCGTTGGCAGGGCAACTTTCATTGTCACCATAGCGCCGTTTTGGAAAGTGTTGGACTTGAACGAGTTGAGCAGGAATGCCATCAGCTGTGGGTACAATTTTGGCTGATAGCTCATGTTTACGAGTTGTCAAATTGTACAGAGATTTTAGGCGCTGTGACACTTGTGGAGAGCTTTTGAAAGTAAACTTTGTGTTAATAAAAACGTGTCGAGACTGATCTAAGCGCTCAATCATTTCGAAAGGAGCTGCTTTCTTCGACTTATTCACTAACTTGAGTGTTTTATGGTACTGTTCAAGTGGATTATTCGTAGCTGCGTATCCAGGAGGAGTATGAAATGCCTGCCATTGACTGAAACGAGGATGTAAAATCCACTGTGAAATTATATGATCAGCTACTTTGCGAAAATGCTCACAAAATGCTGATGCAGAACGCCATGACGATAAAACGAGAGATCTTCTACTCAGGTATTCTTCCTCGTTTCGTGCGTAGTGAAGATTGTTCAGGTCCCGAAAGATGATATCGATAGTCACGCGCTCTAGCTTTCCCTTAGTGCGGTCTTTCACGTTTTGACAAACGTGAAACCAACACATTAGCTACTTGGATTGAGGAAGTGCAACTTGACAAGCTTTGAGCTGCGCATTGTCTGCGTCGGACATGATAAAGGCTGGTGAGAAGGCAATCAAAAAAATCTCGAATAATCCGCTTCGTATACGAAATACACCATGCTACATCTTTTCCGGTTCGCTGCGACGTGCAAAAGTAAATCATTGGGAAGAACTTGCACCGGCAATCCGAAAAACCAAGAACGAATACAGGAAATTTCTGTTTGACAATACTATGAGTACTATCGATATGAAGGATCGTTGTACACCGTGGATCGCGCTGCGCCTCCACGTATGTTTCCAGCATCGAAAAAGAAGTGATACCAATACGAAATGGATACAGTGCAGATCCGTCTCCCAGTTGGGGAGCAATCGTGTTCTCTTCGTGCTTTGTATCACAAAGTATCATCAAATCTGTGGGCTCATCGGAAATGTTTACCAGAGTATCGTACATGTGTTGTCTACACAGATCTATCACGGGCTGCATGATATCTCTTCGATGAGCCTTCCGCCATCGTTTGGTGTGGCTCTGCACCTGGTTCAATAGTGGAGGAGGTCCTTCTAGTGTCATACGGGATATCTTTTTGCATATAATCCCAAACAGCGCCACAGGGGTAATTGTCGAGTCTTCTTCAAGTCGTTTATCAATACACTTCTTCATGTTATCTGTCAAGACAGGAAGTTTTGATGTAGGTGACATGACGGCTGTGTCCTGCATTGTATGGTCCCCGTCGACAGATACAGCAGCCAAATTGCTCTTCTCGCACGTTAAAACTCGGTATCGACACTGACATGTTATCTCAGTCTCTTTACATCTAGCGGAAGTGCACCTAGTTATAATTCTTCGCATGGTATGGCGTGTCATTAGGGACTCATCGTCATCAAATTTGCCGTGATCCAAGGTACATCGCTCTGGTGTATTTCTTTGACGACTTCGACTGGGCAGAGAATCCACAAATTCATCCAGTGAAACATCTTGATTAATGGCTGTGTTCCAGATTTCCACCCAAGGAATTCGCCTTCCTCGTCGTGTATCGCCCACCTCACTCTAAAGTACAGCCGATTTGCGTTAGTAAACTAAAAGAACTCGATGTTATTAAGCGACTATGTTCATGCCCCGGGTAGCGCCATCGTGGGCGGGTCGTTCATTGAGAGACGCCTCCTGAATATTCTGAAGTGTAGCGATGTGTTTCCTTGTGGTCTATTATTGCGTTGATTTAAATGTACCAGTACGAAACGACCACAATTGCATGTTTATATATAGCTTGCTGTAGTGGTGAAATCGTCCAAATCACTGGTGATTCGTCCGAATAGAATGGTAGGTGATCCCTCCCGATTTAATGGTTATGTTCTCTGGTGATTGTATCAATATTTGTGGTGTTGGAGTACCTCACTCAGTGTTCAGCGTTGACCATTATGCTGCGCTCTCGTTTGATCCCTCAACTATCTCAATGATCGGCAACGATGCTGAAAGCTGCGGGAATCACCGGCTCTCCTCGATTCTTCCACACAACCTCGTCGATCGAGAATGAAAAGCCGAAGTCACCTGTTGCCGACTTTATTGTTGAGAATGCGACGGTCCATGACAGAACTGGTAGGTGGTCAAAAACTGAAAGCTCTTTGAGAGCAATCGATAAACTGCCGACTTTTCATAGACATAATATGTAGTACCGTCTTGACAACCTCATCAACTGGGGACGTAAGAGCTCAATCTGGTTGTTGCGTAGTCGAATGATGCACTCTGTACGTGAATAATGGTAAATCTTAGCAAACAGAAAAAAACTTAAGCTTTAACTACTGGGTCTTGTTACAGCTGGCTCGCGGTACACGTTAAGCGAATGGGAATGGTATACCGAGGGTCTTCTCGTCAAATCGAGGTCACGATCCTTGACTGGAACACTGACCAACAAGATGGCGCTGGGCATGCGTAGTGTGCACGACCTGATGCCCGATGTGGTATTTATGGGCAGCTGTGCCGATGGTGGTGGATACTATCACTACTCGTACGCTGAGGTCTATGGCTACAACCGTTTCGTACTCCTCGGCTTCTACAGCTTCAAAAGAAGACAAGGTAAGGAAGTAGCCGCTATCTCCGGTTGCTACTCCCCAGGAGCTCGAGAAGAGTTAAAAAGTGGCTTCAAACGCCCGCTTTGTTGAATCAACCGCTTGTTTTGCTTTCGGTTCACCTTAACGTTTGAGAAAAATGTAATTTCTGCTGCGATAAAATCGTCGTTGTAGCTTGAGCTTCACGCGAACGTTGAGCATCTACCTGCATTAATTCATCCTTCAAGGTTGTGATGAATAAGTCAAGCTGTGCATCCACACCTGAAGGACAGTAATCTGCTGACCACGCCTCCAATTCTCGTCGCGATGCATTCAAGAGGTCATCAAGCTCTGCTAACGGTACTTTAGCCTTTCTCATCGCAAGCTTCCATAACGTATTCAGAGTATTAATTTTTCTATTGTCATGATTCACTGGGGCTAAAACATGAAGAAACGTGTTAAGAACGACATAATCGCACCGTTCTGTAGTCGAAACCCACGTCGGGTCGGATGTGTAGCCTCCTGTCTCCTTATTGAAGTCCCTCTCACGCGATTCGAGGCGTAAATCACTTGCCGCAGTGTTTGTTTCATAGTGGCTATGCCCACAGTTCGAGCACTTGGATGGTACTTCATCCCTTTCAGGTCTCACAACCAAACACCGTTCACACAAACGATGGTTCCTTACGCAGTGAAAAAAATTAAAAGCGTGACGCTTAGTTTTCACATCGGTACTCATTGAAACAAGTAGGTATTCCACACGATCTTTTTCTCGTAAGATATCAACTGCTCGCTGTCGTTGATGAGCTGAGAATGTGGTCGATGCAGACATTTTCACAAGGTTTCCAGCGTACAATAACGCAATGTACTCGCGAGCAATCATGCGCGCTTCGTAGACTTCTTGAACTCGCTGGTGTTGTATCATAACACGCGCGTGAAGTGAAAAAAACGATGAGAATTAAGTTAAAACGAGAATGGTTTGTGTTGGAAGTGGCGCGTAGAGATCTACAAAATTCGGACATTCTTCTGTCAGCCACTGATTAATTTGCTTTAAGTTCAGTAAATCCAATGGGAGGTTGTACCGGTCTGCAAGAGCGTAAAGCTGTTTGTGTGGCACTCGCCACGTCCAAATGTCATTTCGAATTAACAGCAAGAACGTTGAAGAAATATCAAGTACACTGTCTTCTTTTTTCGTCTGAATAGCAGTACGGATGTGATAAAGAACGCGGCTATGAAGTCGAGGCATAATACCATATGCCAGCTGTTCGCGCTTGACAATTCTCGCTCGATACGCCGATAAAAACCTCTTTGCCTTTATGTTACGCCACTGATTTAACCCTGCTTCTTCACGTTCTGCGATGAGGTTACGTCTCTGCTTTTCACTAAGCACGTAATGTAGCCAATGAGACCATGTGAGGTGTAGTAAAGTTTGAAGCCTTTTCGCTGCGAATTCCTTCGCTTGTCGCTTTACTTTTAACCAGAGCAAATCCAGCTTTGCAGTGCATAAAGTTCGGGCTTTAACGTCCAAGTACAAACGAGAAATTCGTCTGCCAGCTCGCCTTCGACGGAGAAGATAACGCTGAACCTTCGCTTGCTGGATATGGTACAGACCAGCGATGACTTTCGCACTTGCGTCCCATATTTTCTCGTTACGACTGGTTAACGCAGCTTGCATGCGCTTGTAACATGACTCTTTAGATTGGAGCATTCTGAACATACAACAAGTGAGTCTTTTTTCTATGAGGATACTATGACCGTCATTACCGGATGTGAGTCTGTCGTTGACGCTGGGTCTCGCGTATTTGTTTCATCCGACAATGAACGCCTCGAAATAATGCTTGAATTACTCTGGCAGCGACGTGAGCCACCGGTTCTTTGTCTCTTAATTCCGGGAGCTCTTTTTCAAGATCATGAGCTAATTCCTCGAGATTCGCTTCTTCGTTTTGGTAGGTTTTAACCAACCTGACTGCGTCTATGTGAGCGACACTGCTATCTCGGAAAGCAGTATTTTTTCTAGTGACGTTCATCACTTCTTTCTCTTTCTCGGTTACTTTATCTCGTATGATCGCGACGTCGAGTCGAAGCTGCTGAAGTTCCTGTTGCATATCCTCACACTTCAAGTGATACACTTCACGATCCTTTCGGAGACGTTCCACTCTTGACAAAAGTCCCGCGATATATGAGACAAGGTCGATCCTGCATTATGAGCGGATAATGCGTTACCATCAGTGAACATGTATCCATTGGTCGAGATGTACTCACTTGTGCTTTCGGACGAAGTGACCTCGAAACGTTTTCTGAATCATCACGGCACTCTTTCGAAATCGAGCAACACCTACACCATGATATTGTATGTAGATTCAGGAACGAGATCTTGCAAAGAGAGTACGATGGTCCGAACCTTGTCGGTTCTTCCACTTCTGAGTCATCCTCACTGTCACCAGAATGCGTTTCTGTAGCAAGTGTCTTTTACAATAAACCCATCAGCAAAAGCTTTACACCCACGTTCCGTAATTTGCCAACCTGCGCCATCGCCTCTGAATAGTTCGGATTCGAGCAATCCGAATTTCACTGCATGATACCAATCGGTAAGTTATTTTATTGTCTCTAAAATACTACGAGCCGTCGACCTCAAGTAGCGTTGCCGTGGAGATGACAGTGAGTCACCAGTCCAATGTTGTTGCTGTTCAGAGACGACAGTGACGAGTTGTTGCATCACTTGCTGCTTGCGTGATGGAGCTAAGACCTGATCACGTATGGCAGCCACCAGAAGACGACATCGTTGCAAGTCTTCGTGCAGTGAACTCTCGCGCATGGCACTTCCAGAAATACATCTTTTAATAAATAAAATACCACACAATGAAGGTTTTACTTTTTGTTATTTTGATTGAGAAACACGCTTACAGTCTACAAGAAAAGTTCACGTGACGTCATGGCTTCCAGCTCAGATGGGATACTTGACCTTCTCCGTACATGCCCTCGTCTTCCTCCTTCTACTGGGACATCATCTTGATTGGTCGCATTCGCGATGGCCTCAAGATACTCAGGCTCCAGTTCGGCCTGTCCTCCGAATTCCAGGTAAGACGGTAGTGACGAGCGTTCGCTATCGCAATATTCCGACAAGAGTTCCGACAGTGACGGAGGCTTGCGGTACTGACGTCGCGGTGGCTCGTCGTTTTGCGTAACCATACTCGCTGACAGTGCGTTGTTCGTGTTGGTAAGATCTGAGTACGATTCCGCCTCATTCTGGCAGTTATTTGAGTACGCTCGCACGAACGAGGACTCAGAATCCGTTATTTGAGGATCTTGGTACGGATTCGACATGGAGTTCTGCCAGTCGAGTTGAGACGATGCGTTGGACGACTGACTCTCACTATCGTCGTCGTCTACGTGTTGCACGCCCTCCAAGTGAAGTGGAGACAGTAGGTCACTCAACCAAGGTTCCGGAACGTACTCGACTCCTCCGTTCTCTGACGGTACCTCAGTCCAATGTTGGAGATCCGTAAACGAACTTCGAGTACCAGCAGCGTCGTCCTTCCGCATTAAATGTGGGAGGTCAGTGAAGTCCATGTCACTGAATGTATCGGAGGCCACTCCATACATGGAATTGGGTCGGGAGATCAAGTTGGACACTTCGCTACTCTCCACACTGCCGTACGCAGCTCCCGACGTGTCCGACTTGAGCTGTACATGGGTCGTACTTGAGGATTCCCGCTGGATATGTACGTCTGGTAGAGCGTCTTCGGGTTTACTTTCCGAATCTTCGGAGCTATCCGGCACATCAACCGGTATTTTCGGAACATCTCTGGGACCAAGAGAGTTCATCTGGAAGGCCTGGAACGCGCTAGACGTGAGGTCCGACAGGTCTCTGTACTCGTGAGCGTCTTCGCTATTCTTCTGCTTTCGCTCCTTTGACGCCTCCTCGCGACGATTGTGTTGCTTAGAATTTGGACGTCGTTGACGTCTCGGAGTCGGGAACTGCTCGTCATGTCGGAAAACATGCAGCGGAGAGCCGTAAAAGGACGGCGGACGGTCGTCACTCACCGTTCGTCGTAGCGGAGGCGCGATGCCTACGTCGTGATGAAGACGACGTGTGTCCGAGATAGTTCCTCGATTGTAAGGGCCGTCCTCGGTATTGTGACTACGTTCGATCTCCCGTGCGTAGACTTCCATCATCTTGGCTAAAGCTGCTTGTCTTGTCTCCTCCGTGACGTGTAGACTAGCACCGCGTTCTTCTTCATACAGCCGCATAGCGGACATGGCCAACCGGAAAGCTTCGTCGTCTCGGTCTTCCAGGTCGTCACTGCGATGTCGACGGCGAGTTGTGAACGCGCCAGCGAGATTTGAGTCACTTAGAGAAGTGTACGGAGACCCCAGCTCTGGTTGATGACGTACAGGAGGATCCGAACCAGTTCCAACACCTGAGGAACGGAATCTCGACTCAAAGTCAGCTGTATGGCGATGCTGGCCTCCACTCAGCTGTGTAAGGCGAGCATTACGCGCGTCAAAGTACTGTTGCGTGCGTCTCTGACTCTCGAACGTGTCTCTTTCCTCGCTTTCATGTCGACTACGGAAGCCAGTGTCACGACGACGAGGAAGGTGTCGAAACTCGTGACTACTTCTAGATCTAGATCTAGAACGTCCATCATCTGAAAGCTCAGATCTAGACACCCCACGACCAGAATTAGAATTGAAGCCATCGGATCCGACAGCACCAACACCGGCGTGATCCTCTTCGCCATATTCAGAGCTTAATCCAAGGAAATCTCCCGACTCATTACGTACGAATCCATGCGCACGAGGCCTCGTAGGCGGGTCACAGTGTTCACTCGATCCTGTTGCATACTGGTGCATTTTCTTCGCACGTTCAATATGTTCGCGACGCATTTGCTCTTCGTACTGCAACTGTTTACGCATCTGTTCACTCTTACTAGGTGGCAGGCCTAGTTCCTCGTCATCTTCCATATCGTCGTCTTTAAGTTGCTCTTCCCATGCGCTTGCACCTAATGGAGTATCAACTGGCAACGTCTCACCCGACGCACTGTTCATACCAAGCAAAGACTTGGCGTTATTGTCGAATCTCCGTTCTGTCTGCACTCTGGACTCGTTAAACGCGTTATTGGATTTCTTCAACATGTCCTCGAACTCTTTATTCATACGCTTCGCTTCCTCCATATCAGCCAATCCATTGACATCTTCGTTCTCGAAATAAAATTCATTCTCGTCGATAGAATGGTGTCGGTTCTCAAGAATAATCATCGACTCATCGTATGCAGGGCGCACTTGACTGTCGTCTAGCTTTTTGACGCCACTGTCGACAATTCGAATCGAACCGTCCATCATGGGTACACTGACACCATACACTACGGATTCGGAACATTCCAAACAGATGCGCACCTTTTTAGCACCAACGCGGGCGTAATCCAGCAGATATTCGTTGCCGCAAGGGTTGCAGACGACTTTGCCACACTTTCGACACAGCCGCCGACGATGGAACAACCCGAACCGCGTCTCACAGAGCTGACAGTGCGTAACGCCCTCTTTCCCAGGCAACTCCAAGTCTCCGAGTAACTTTTCTTGTGTCAAGCGCTGTAATTGGAAATGGTGATTCACTTGGGCAATATTCTTGATGCGACGCTTCATCACCAGAATTTTTAGCCAATTAGGGGCGTTCCCTTTGATGTCCACATGCAACGTGTGCACTGCGTCCACACACCCTTTCTCGGCCGACTCGGTGAAGATATATCCGGATCGATAGAAGCTGCCACGGACGAGACCGTGGCTACGGTTCAAAGGTGGACAGAATGGTAGACGGATGGAGTGGATGCTCCTCACCCAGCCCCGTCGCTTCGTGTTGGCGTCAATAAACTCGTCGTGACACTCGATGTAGCAGAAGTCGCGGGGTCGAACGAGTTTATTAGGAGATTCCACTGCTGTCCACTTGACTGCGACGTAATGTTTTGGGTTATCCGGTGTGGGAGTTGCAAGAGTCAGCAGCGTCTTTTGATCCAGCAAGTCTTTGCCTACGGTTTGCGCAAAACCTGATAATTTCTCGGGGGTGTCAAGTTTGAAAAAGTCCGAAATCTCATCGATTGTTGCACGAATTTTGCAAGACCCGCGCAAATAGGTAAGTGCCTTGGCATCTTGTTGCGTATCACTGGTCCCGGAGTTGTCCACACCTTGAAATACGTCCACACCGTCTTCTGATGATAAATGTAGCCATTTCATAGGCCCATCGTCTTGTCTCGAGTAGTACACGACTTCCTTGCAGGCGTGTTTCGCGAGACCTAGTAGATATTTGTTCTCTTTGGAGCTGAGTTGTGGCACGGGGAAAAAGTCGTCAGGTAGTGGCAATTTGCCGGGAATGTAGCCGTCTGCGGAGCTGTTGTAGCCATGTTTCAGGTTGGCACAGTTGGTCGAGTTGGCCATGGATGAGTCCATGTCATTCCGACCGGAGCCTCGTCCAGACCGTCCAGATCGACCGGAGCGACCGGAGTGCGACGTCGAGTGCGTCGAGCCCCGAATGAAGTCGGCGCCGAAACTTGCCATTCCCGACAGTTAATTGCGCTGTTGCCAGACGGTTGTGAAGGTGAGTGGCAGGTGTTAAGCAAGCACCTACACCTGAGTGAGCAAAAGGTCTCGGTGGGTCTACGTCCTCAGCTGCCACAAAAGACAATTGCAAGTTGCCGACACTGTTTGACGCAACAGGTTTGGAACACGAAGCCGACTGAGGAAGTTCGCACCAAGCACGGATCTCTTGCGCGCGATGCAAAGAGCCAGTTGCACGGAAGGCGACAGAGTTGGCTGGAGCGACGGAGCTTGTTGACCGGCAACACAACCACACTTTGACCGCCAGTCGAGCTCCGTTGCGTTGAGGTCGGCGCGGCGGTGACGGCCTGCTGTTATAAGAAGCGAGCGCAGTCTCTGACGTTCTTCCCTCCTCTCGCTGTGGAGTTGCCTGGACGTGCACAATGAAATGTTGAACCAGAGTCGGGTCGGAATTGCCCATCCCCTCCGTGTCAATGTCGCTTCGAATGCTTTTCAACCTATAGATGGCATTAATGAATAATTTCATCAAATGAGGAATGCCACTGTCCAGCATACAATACTCGGGTAATCTGTTTTGAAAAATACTAAAGCGTCGTAAAAAATGTCGTTGGGACCAAAATTTGGGAGTCTCATGTACATGTACCAGTACCTCAAGAATTGTAGAAGGCAATGTTCCTGCAGGAGTATTATCTGCGCGCAAAGGTTGTACTATGGTCGACTTCCCTTCAGGTCAGGCGGCATAGCCGATTCTACCTTGACCACCATCGATGATGGCATCGCCGCCTGGGCACGGCAAAATGGTTCTCAACGTCATCATCAAATGCCTATTTTGCTGGGGGGGGGCTACTGTATCGCAATTGACAGTTTTTGCGATTTGGCATAGCAGATAGCCCATTTCCTGTCTGCGGCGGCGATGATGTCCATCGTAGTGATCCAGACGCTGGGAGCGATGCATGCGCGTGTAATGGACCAACAAGCAACTTGTACTAATACATACTGTAACATCACCGTGAGCGGACATGATTGTCCTTGGGAGGTTGGCTCTGGACGTCGTCGTCCAGTGGACGAGAATGTCTCGCAGAGTCGGTCGAGTCGTCATTGACGACTCGACCGCTCGTCAACAACGACACCGAGAATGTGTTGGATTCGGGGTGTTGTGGGTCGCCAATTGCAGTGACTGGCTCGCGTTGGCCAAGTCATCGACCGAGGTATCGTAGCGACAGCCTCCTCGAAAAAAAGTTCCGTGTCGGATTGACATTCCCAACGGGAAGGCACGTCAGGACGTTGAAGGTACATGCACCATGACGTCTAACTACACCGAGAGATTGCTTCTTCGATTTTTTCACTTGGACAACAGATATTTTACTTGGTACCAACAGACTGGGGACTATCTACATGCAGTCGCCCGGTAGGTCGACGACATACACACTGTCTTAACTACAGTACGCCTTACGATTCCTGAGGCGTGGGGCTGCTGATCCATTTGCCGTCGAATAGAACAGTGCCGGCAGCCTTCGTAGGAGTCGTAACGGTGTTGCACTTGCAACTAGGTTTCACGGTTCCGTTCTCCATATACTCGGGACATCCGCAGTGGTCACACAACCCCGGTCCGTGTCGGGGTGAGCTCACCACCGACGCAACGTCGGTCTCCTTGCTGGCTCGCGCCGGGACCCACTCACCTTGAGACGTTTCCATTAGCTCTACATCCTCGCCGGCAGTTTGATCCAGCGCTTTATTCGCACGTAGACGATCTTGTTTCTTGCGTTCTGCAGCAGTATCCAGCTGCTGCTGTCGCTGTTCCTGGAGATACCGCTCCTTAACCGCTATAGACGATTGCGAGTCGACTGAAAACTGGCTGCTTGGTGGCTCGTCATCACGCGGTTGTTGACGGTGGCGACGCAGGTTCTCCAGCTCCTTTTGGCGTTGCTGGATCTGTTGCAGCACCGACGCAGCAGGTTGAGGTTCACGCTGTTTAACGGACTCGGATCGACGAACCGGCGACTCAAGAGACTGTTGTCGACGACGAGCTTGCTCCTCTTGATACTGCGCCATTTCCTCAAAGTCGGACTGCTGACGACGACGTGCCTGTTCCTCCTGATAACGAGCCTGCTCTTCGAACTCCTGCATCTGCTCGGAATGAAAATTGTGTCTCTGGTGCTGAGACATCTCGTTCGTAGACTCCCGCTTCCAGTGGTTAAACAAATCAACCATTTCCTGCTTCTTCACTGATGCAGCGGCCACTGAGGCCCGAGGTTTCTGGCCTGGATGCGTCTTGTTCTTCTCATCATCACTGGCACGACGCTTTGCCTTCCTCGGAGACGCCACAGGAGATAGAGGTCCTTGCGGTAGGGTACCTGGCTGTTCACCAGTCTCACTTGCGCGTTGTTGGTCTTGCCACCAACGCGTGAGGTCCGTGGTAGTGCGGATCTCCCCCAAGCCATCGATCGTGTGCTCTTCATAGTCCGTCAAGTCACTGTCGCGGTAGTCAGAAGACAGTCGCGCGCCAGCTCCAGCTGTGAGACGGACAGCCTCCTCGCCTTCGTTGTCGCTGGGCTCCTGGTTACTACTGAGCTCCGACGACATAAACGAAGGGAACCGATCGATCGGTTGACGTCCGGCTTTCTCACTCGTGGACACACTGCGAGTCTGGGGGTGTTGAGGCATCACTTCCGCCTCCGGTTCTTCCTTTTCTTGCTGCTCCGCCACTCGGGAAGAAGGAATACGACTTCTAGCCTGCTCCTTCTCACGCTTCTTTTCGCGTTCAAGTTCCTCACGTAAAAACAATTTCTGTGCCAATTCCTGCTCGTCTAGCACGATACCGGAGTCGCGGTCGTACACCTGCATCTCGTCCCATAGCTGAACACGTCGACTTAGCTCAGTGGCACGCACCTCCAAGTCGCGTTTGATCTCATCTTGTTGCGCAAAAAAAGATGCCGCGTCGCTCGGTCGGTCCAGCATCGATAACGAGCGTCTCCGTTCGTGTTGCGGTGGCTCCAGTAAACCAGGATGCGTGACACCTTCCACTTCCGTTACCGGCTCCTTGCCGTGTCCTCTTACCGGACACGTGCCGGCACGCGTCGTGTGTGCTGAAATGTGCGACTGCTTGGCTTCTGCGGAGCACACAGTGCAGATACGAACCTTGGTGCGTCCTACAACTGGAACGTCAAGCCACCAGTCGTCGCTGCATCGTCGACACACACCCTCGCCACATTTACGGCACACGTAGCGCTTAGACTTGGTCGACATGTTGGTAATCGAGGCCAGTGTGTCTCGGAGGCCCCCAGCAGTCACAAACTCACGGAAACACAAGTTGCAACTGCCACGTGTGCGTTTCCTCGCTGGGATATCCAGATCGCCTAGTAAGGGGCTGCTACTTAGTCGCTGTTGCTGCAACAGCTTGTCTACTGTTGCCAGAGCTGCAACCCGTTGCGCTAAGAATGTAGGCTGCAGTAATTCCAATGCCATTTTACCTTTCAAGTCCAACTCCATGGTGTACGTCACACTGAGCACGCCTGGTTCGTCCGTCTCCACTGCTGTAAGGCCAGATCGATAGATACTGGCACGTACAACCCCGTGCTCCTTCTCTAATGACGGACAGCAAGGAAGCTTTAATGAATGCAGCGATCGAACCCATCCGCGTCTCCCTCTTGCATCTGTAAACTCTTTTTGACACTCCAAGTAGCAGAAGTCTCGGTTCCTAAAGAACCTGGACGGAGATGCCACTAGAGCCCATTTCACGCCCACATATCGACGTGGTTGTTGCCCGGAAGGAGATACGAGTGTATACAGCGTAGAGTGTTGCACCAAGTCGGCGTTGAACAGCAACAAATGGTCCGCAGCTTCCCGACTCGAGTCCAGTTTGAACAAGAGCGCGAATTCCTCGATACTCGCGTGGACGTCGTCGCTGATGGCTCGTACGCACGTGGCGTCTTTGGCTTCACTAACGTCTCGAGCAGCGCCACGCAGCACGTGGATATTGCCCGGCGCGCCTCGAGGCCGCTGTGCCGGACGCCACAGCACGCTGCCCGGCTCGTCCTGAGCCAATGTGTCTTTGATCAGAGCATTAGACGTCTCATTGGCCACACGCACGAGATGCTTCTTCATACGCGGCTCCAGATCTGGCCGAGGGAAGAGCTCGTCCACCGGAGGCAGCGTCGGCTCTGAATGGGACTTGGCCGAAGCCACGGACGGAGGCGGCGCCGGACGCGACATATTACGCGTCATGGTGTGCGGGATAGGCATCGTGGCCGGCGGCATGACGCTGTGTCCGCGGTTCGGACGCACGTCAGACGCCGCGGGCTTAGGCGAGGGCCGCGCGCTGGCGCTGCGCGTGCGCAGGCCGTCGAAGCGCATGACAATCGTTTCTTCCGACCGTCAACGAGAATTTACTGAAGTGATACACTGGCTGGATTGGGCCGCAGAAACGTTGTTGCGTTGTGCGCGAGATCCGGCCTACGAGTGAACTAAAACAGGGCGGGAGTGATTGTTTTGTCGAAAAGGCGGCGGGTAGACTGGCCAACTGTAGGTGCGACCAGCGAGGCTAAAATCGTCAATTCACTGCTATACGCACCTTAAAAGAACGGAGACGGGTGAAAGAAAAATGCTGAGCTCTCGGAGCCCATGGTGTTTTTCTTTAGAAAAATACATTTAGTTGACTATGTTGTTGCGCTGGCGGGGGTAGTGCGAGGTCAGGGAGATTGCAGCCACATGGTCTCAATGACAGTCCCATCCGGGCCATTTTCTTCCACATTGACTCAACACTATATTGGCGTGAAATTGGTGTAACACGGTATTCTTTTGTAAAGACAACCTTTTTTGCGCGCGTCCAGTTTTGACTTCCTTTGAGTATGGAGTGGCCGGACGAGAAGGAGGTGTTGCTGGCGACGATCCGTAGGCAGGAAGAGGAGGCCGCGACCCTCGCTAAGCGCTTCAAACTGCTGCAGAAGACGCTCAAGGAGCAGCAGAAGCTGCTTGACAGGTACCAGCACGCGCTCCGCACCGCACAGACCTCCTCTTTGAAGAACCAGCAAACTGCCACAACAATTGACAAAGCAAGTAACAATACCAAAACCACTACGACTATTGTCAAACCTAAAGAGGCAACTTCGACGTGGATGAAGAAGAAGACAAGCGATGTATCGGGGTTAGAAACTATTAGAGAAGCACCTGCACCAGCTCTAGAGAAGCAGGAGGTTCAGGAGGCAAAAGAAGAGAAGAAAACAATATTCAAGCTTGCAGTAAAGAGAAGAAGTGGCGCACTGGCTGCCACATGGGCCGAGGAGAAGCGGAGGATGTTTAAGAAACCCAAATGGGAGAAGACACTGGAGCTGACAAATTCGGGTGCCAACAAGGAGAACGTGCGGACAGCGCAGACCACAGACAAGCGGAAGGGTTTTGCGTATGTTGAGGTGGTGCGTAATCGGGAAGAGAGGAAGGCGCTGCCAGGACACGACTGCATGGAGTGCAAGAAGTATTACGATGCACTAGGCGCACTTGGTGCGGTAGACGCTGCGGCGCACAAGAACAAATGCTCACGTCATCGAGCAAGGTTCGAGCCGTACCAGACACCGGATGACTTCTGGAGACTGAGCTTTCCGGACTCCGAACCCGACTTAAGATCACCTTCGCTAATGTGAGGTCTACTAAAGTACGGTTACATATTTGAGACTGCGTCAAACAAAATGTTACTTACGAACCTTTGAGAGTTATCGAGATAATCGAGCTTAGAATTGATTTTCGCACTTGACCGAAACAGTGACATTTATTGTAAACTTCCATCGAAAAAACTGTAAAACCACCCTTATTCAATTGCTTTTAACAAGAGCCTTTTAAATCTCTTAAATTGAAAAAGTATATGTATCGTCATTTCGAGGGCCCATAAATGAAGATAATATTTTTGAGCGACCACAACTTCTTCAGTTTTAAGCATTCTGCAGCTTATAAGGGCTCAAAAAATAGAGGAGACGCCCCGCTTTCGTTTAGAGTGCTTAAATCGCGATTCGTACTTAGGTTCATAAGTAACATTTTGTTTGACGCAGTCTCATTTCAAGGGTCTATTACCGAATTGGTCAGGGTCTAGACCAGAAAATATTTTGTCCCAATTGTGATTAGTGTAGATACAAAAGGATAAAATCTGATCAAGGTCCGGATCCAGACCATAGAAATAGTGTAAACGGCCCTGGAGGTTTTAGCTAGCCTGCTTCTACAAATTGGGAAGCAAATTTTTCAGTGAAAATTTTGAAATCTGGTTGCTTGGACTTTAAAATAGCTCATATGCTAATTTGTAGAAGCAGGCTAGACTCCGTAAGCACAAGACGTGCGAGGATAGCCATGCTAAAAACCAGCAGCTCAGCGTCCTCCGTGCTGTTAAGTAAGATCGTCAACGAACGGTAGAAATCCTTAATCTTCTTCATCTCCTTGGCGTAAATCCTAACACCAGCACTTATCTTAATCATCTCAGCCAATACGAGAAGTTGCAGCTTCAGTCCTGTGTCCACTTCGCAACCATTCCACAATGCTGAGACTGAAACGCTCTCGACCATTGCAACAGCTTACACAGCACATGTGACGGATACCCAATTGCCGTTTTCCTTGCAAACAAGTAACAGAGCTCTAGCAGTTGCAGCGAGTCCTCTGGAGTCTACTGGGTCGACTGCGCCTACTCTGTTGATGCCTCGTCCTGTACGCCTGCTGCCTTATTCGACGCCACAACAGCGAGAAGATGCTCTGCCAACGTATCGAGCAGCTGCAAACTCAGCGCAGTGTGGTTTGCAGCGAAAAATTCGTTGTGTGCTGAAAGTTTCCGCGCTGCTCGATACAGATCGGAGGCTGTACCACCACTTGGGGACTCAAGATAACTGTCCACGGCGACCACCATAGCGGATTTGCCCGGCTTCTTACCACGCTTTTCGATAGTCGCTCGACGGCTGTAGAGTCTCGACACGGAGGAGGTGAACGTTGCGCCGTCGTTCATGGCGTTGCTGTAAAAACCGTTACTTGAAAAGTTCTCACAAATGTCATAATATCAAGAAAAATGTTCGATAATCACTTACTTAAGTATATCAAATATTGCTATTGTATAAATTCGCTAATCAAAAGCACAACATTTGTCTCCCGTTTCATCCACGTTGTGCACAACACAGATAGCTGTGAAATGAAAACAATCTACCTCACCAGTTCTACAGACAACGACGGAGAAATCGGACACCATTGAATAGCATCCAACCATAGTAGAAGAAAAAACACAGAGCCCGACACAAAAATCCGACGCTTCATTTGATAGTTTAATAACGCACTCTAAAAAACAAATACAGCACAGAAAAAACATGTGAATGAAAAAGGGATTATATTCAGACGGTTACTTCCGGAGTAAATCATTATTCGTGTGACACATCAACGTCACATCACACTACACAATCTATATGTGTGCCACACTTGCATTGGCCAAAACACACCAACCTAGGGCGTCTACACACCAGTGAATATTTGCGAATCACGGCCAGTGCTATGACAATCCGTGAGCCAATCACCACCCTTTATACCCTTTCTTAACAGCAAATATCCTTCATTCAGTAAAACGCTGAATTTCTGAAGCCCTCCTTCCCCTTCCCCAACGAAAGATGCCAACTACGACCAAGTGGACGACTATCTGCAGCGACATGGCTCGCGAGGATTCCCAGCTGCGTATGGAAGACATGAAGGTGTATATCATTGTGAAGAGTCAGCTGGTTCCATGTGTGGTGTGTGCTCTGACCAAGCCGCACAAGATGCGGTACCAACTACTGCGTTGTTCCTCAGAAACATGCAAAGCAGCCACGCCATATGACGCGTGTCGGTGGCAGGGTAAGGTGCTCACGTGCCAAAGTCTTATTGCGTCACCATAATGGAGACTGGTGCTCACGAGACGCTGGTGAGGGGCCCTCAAAAAACAAAATGACCCCACGACTCAAGGACTACGGCCGGGAAATGGCAACTCAAGGGTTGGAGCCCGCTCGGATTTGCACTGACATGGCTCCGCGATTTGGGTTGACGGAGACGGAGATGCTGACACAACGTCAAGTGCAGTGGTTCGTCAGTAGTTATTCGACGAAACATCTGCACCGTGATGACGATTTCGACGAGGAATTGGGCCAGATCGACCAGTTGGTTTATGGCCCGACCATATCAGAGACAACTCCATCTTCGTTCGGATGGAAACGTGACGCACGCGGCAAACCAGATGGGGGGAACGGCTCTGACGAAAACCCATTTTTGGTGGGATTGACAACGAAGCGTCTTATACTGAGTGCTGCCCGCGACCCAGAATCATTTGTGTTTCACATGGATGCCACGTTTAAGTTGAATCAAGTCGGGTATCCTGTCATTGTCTGCGGGATCTCTGACATGTGTCGTTCGTTTCATCTCGTGGCACTTTTCATTACATTGCAACGTTTGGAGGAAATTTACGTGACAGCGCTGGCCGAGCTCCACAGGGTTTTTACTTCCGTGTCTGGTGGGCGCCAACTGCTGGTCAAGTTCGTCATGGCCGATTCTGAAGCTGCCCAACAGAACGCAGTGAAACGAGTTTTTGGTGTCGATTGTGAATTTGTATACTTGATGTGTTTCTATCATGTGATGGCCAAGGCTCACGAAAACCTCAAGGGCGTACCGGAGCACTTGTCCAAGCAAGTGATGGCGGACATCTATGATCTCCATTTCACGGATAGCCAAGATGTCTATGACGAACAAGTGATACAGATTCTAACCAAGTGGTCGGAAAAAGAGCAGCTGATTTGGTTTCAAGGCTATTTTGAGCGTATGTGGGTGCGAAGTTCATTTTGGCGATGACAATGCTTCCATATTCCCTAGTGGATACGCCACTACAAACAACCCGGTGGGGCAGTTCAACCGTTTGATCAAGCGTGACTACACTCTCCGGACCAAACATAAGAGTGGAACACTGTTCCAGCTGCTGGCGGATTGTTGCGCACGCCAGTCGGTAACTTCAAGAATCTTCAAGGAATCCCCTGAAGCCACACAGCAGTTGAATGCAAGGGTTAAGGATTTTCGCAATCGAGATCTTCTTGTGGACACGACTCCCAGCCGGTCCAGCATCGACATCTTACTTGTTTCCCCAAACCCAGACGTGATTCGTGTGATGTCACGTGGCTGTGAGCGTATCTATCTTCCGGAACTAGGACGCAGTCGCGAAGTAGCCCCAGTGTCGGCCCAGATGGGTGTTAATTACGCGCGAATGAAGGTGTTTGGGCAGCCTGATGGAGGATGGCATGTGGATTTGAGTACGAATTCGTGCGGATGCAAGTACTACTTCAAATTTGCAATCTGCATCCACGTGCATTTTGCTCTGCAGATTA